TTAGTTTTGAATACAACAGATATCACGTCGGTAAGTTGAAATATTCACACGTAGAACAATGACTTACATTGTATATAGTTCTGAACGCAACTCATTATCACGCCGGCGAGTGCAATTACCCACAGGCTGTACGGTAGTTTACTCTAAGTGTAGTATACGAGTGTATGAAAACGGAGTCAATTCTCTGATACAGCGCTCGTGATTACTAGTCAATTTCATATCGTGGACAGGTTTTACAACGTGAAGTTACACATATCATGTGTTTTGCGATTGTACTATACTGTTTTTTATAGAACAAAGCATTGACAAAGCAAAACATCATTGGAAGTTCAATGTTGAACCGACGTGCTTTGTTTCAGTGGTCTAAAGTTTCACGTTCGTCCACTCGATCGGCATCATGAAAAATACGAAATAAGCTTAGCATATGCAACTTTGTATATGTTTGCTAGTGTGTTTATTGAACATTGTAGTCTATTCCCTACTTGAATTCGAATTTCTACAAGTTGTCTTGGCCCCGGAAATGAACCCGACAGAATATAATTCAAATGAACATTCGCATTTTCCTGTTTGATGAAATAATGACAGCCATGTACCAGCTGTAAATATGTTTCTCGTATTTTCACCTAACTACTAGTATTTTGATTGGGGGTAATCACAGCTTTACATGGAAAAGAACATTGACTTTTTCCTGAAAACAAAACAAAAAAGAAATGTGTTAATTGACTATATTGCCGTCCCTAAGAATCGAATGGTATAGTCCTATTGCTAAACAATAGCCTTGCCATAGTAAACAACATGGCGGACTGAACTCTCTCCAACGCCCAGTACGCTGATATCGGCTGTAATTTGCAACTCTGTTTTTTATTATTATTATCAACTAATTTTATCCAGTAAAATGTTGCAACTTTTGACAAATAATGCTGGGTTCAAATGGTGAGGATTGTGGCGCCAAGCGGTGTACCGTCGAGGGGTCGAAACATCGAGGGGTCTAATCGTCCTAGGGTCGAAACGTCGAGGGGTCTAATCGTCCAGGGGTCGAAAGGGCGAGGGGTCCAAACGACCTGATACCGTGGATAATATGGCGTCGTCCCATGGATACATACTGCTGTCTCGGAACTAGCCAGTTCACTTTGAAACCTTTTTATTCATATCATCTGATGTTGTATTGAGTTTTTCTTTGCTTATATGCGCTATCGAAAGTGTCATCGCCATGGTGACTATTTAATCTATAATAGTTTTATGTTTTTTGTGCTCAATTTTGCCGGTGAAACCTCTGAACCCAAACTCGTCCATGATTGTGAACTGTTACTAATGTAACCCCATATCTGCTGTCTCCTTTCATTCAATAGGTGGTGTATGAATAAAATGCCGTTTCGTAAAAATAAATGGGACCGTCCAAAGCGGTATTACAGAGATTTGATAGAAAAAAAGAAATTAAAACAACAACAGTCTTCTGGTATTCCTACTGTCACAAAATATAAGATCCAGGTATGTTAAGTTATAATTTTTTGAAATGTTTTGGGTGAGATTGTCTGCCTCATTACAAGTTGCTATAACATTCCACTAGGTTTATTTTATTATTTCCAAACAGAGGCTACTGTATAAACATATCATTGAAAAAATTTTTTTTCATTCAAGTCTTATTAATATTTTACATTTCAGGAGAGTGATGACAACAGAGAACCAGTTCTGCTTAGCTTCAGCTATTTGCAGCAGCATGTCAATAACATCACGTTACCATCTGGTTGGTCACTTCTGAGTTCCGCAACAGAATTTCGATTCAGTCAAGTGGAATTTATTGGCGATGTGTCAAAAATAGTGAGGTGTGTTATGGTAGGAGAAGACTTGAACTGGCGTGTAAAAGTTCATGGAAGAGATCTATTGAACAGTCACTACATTTTTAATAACATTCCACCAACAGTTACTGACTTTGAAGTATTGAACAAACTTATCACAGTTATAAGTCAGTGTAATATATCATGGGTAATACAGACCCATCATTTATAGAGTTGCTGCAGAGTCGAGGTGGGGAGATTGTGAAGGCTTTTTCATTTTCTTGTGAAAAAGATGTGTCTGCATATATTGAAGAGGATTTGCATGCCAAAGCAAAAGATGGGAAAGTCTACCACTCAACTATACGGATAACTGATTGTCTACTCATTGCCGATAAAATAAGATGTACTAAGTGTTCCTCATATCGCAACAACCTCAGATCTTTGTTGTCAAGAAAAAAGAGCCAAGACCAAGTATGTAAAATTCAAACAGGCAGTAGAGTTAACCTTCGATATCTTAACAAAGTACAGTTAAAAGAAAGGGCTGTAAATTTACAGAAAGAAAAGATTGCACTGAAAAGGACATTGGATAGAACTGTAAAGCGATTGATAAGTGATGATGGTGTTTTTGTGCTAATTTTATCGCTAATGCAAAAAGTAACAGGCTGAGGGCATCCGAACTGTACGAACGCGAAACACGCATTGTGCCGTTCGAATCCGTAGCGTTTCCTAACCGGGTGTTAAGGGACTGTGGATTGTTAAATATATCATATTGTTTGTATCTGATAAGAAAAAGCTCCTCGACTTCTAGATATAATCCAGCTGTATCACATTTAGGACACGTTCTATTTTCAATGTCAGTGTGTTTGGCGCCCTCCTACTTCTATCTGAAGCACATGCACACATATCCTCCGTCATAGATATTAGATGCCCTACGAGCAGGACGATTAAAAACGAACCACGACACAGAAATGCAGCTAAAACTTACCCTGTGTTGGCTGCCATTTTCTGTTATTCGTTTGACTGAAAGTTCAGTGACATGCGTGTATTTGTTAGTGTAACCTTTGCCCGTTGATATCACATTATAGGATCGTCGTCGTGTTGCATATGATAACCTCTATAACAGCGATCGGCATTGCTGCAGTTTATGCAGCTCTCTTGGTCGTGGTATACGTTGCGGGGCGACCAGAGAGCTGCAGTTCCCTTCCCTAAAGAAATGCACAGATTTTTAAATATGCCAGTTATGTATCATTAAAATTGTGATTGTAATAAAATTACCTCGACTTGCAGGAAAAAATAGACAAATATGTTCTCACAAATATATCTGTTACTGATTACAGCAAGCTTTAAGCAAATTTGCCCGTGTAAATGAGACTATTTCACGTTAAAACTGTGCCGAAGTGAAACCTCCGATTGAACGCCGCCATTTTGAAGCCGACCTCTATCACGTGACTTGGCTCTTTTAGTGACGAGTGTAATCACGTGACTACAGCAGACGGCCATCGGCGCCTGTATGTCTGGGACAGCGCTTCATGTGACGAAACAACGGCAGACGGCTTTTTATAATTTTAATTTCATTTCACCATTAAGTGACTCATCTTTTTTTGAAAAAATCAAATAAAGTACATGTATTATATATTGTGAAAAATCTAAAAATAATCTTGTAACTTGCCAAAGAGTGTTACAAGTGACAGGAGCAGACAGCAGACAGCATGGAATTCACAAAGGACAAAATTGTTGAATCTTTTGACCAGAATCTGAAAGATATTTTTAAATTTTACCTAAAAGCTCAACAAGTAGAAGGTACTACTTGTATTTTAAATAATATACACACATTGGCCATATTACCAACAGGGTATGGCAAAAGTATGATGTATATTTTACCACCAATGCTCGCTCCTCAATATTATGCGGAAA